AAGAAGCTCAGCAAGCAGTGTACTAGGCTTCAGGGATTATTATTAAAGCAGCAGAGATAGCAAGGAACTGTCATAATGTATAGAGGTAGCACTAATGACCAACTGGTTAGAAACATAATCTACACACTAGAGAGTTCTGAAAGAAAATTATATATGAGCCGGAAAGGAAAAATTACTGTACCATCTGGAAGAATATCTTACGGTTCTACAAACTACAATTGCCCCAAGATTCTAATGTCAACTCTAACTGTGATCACCAAATATCTAAAGGGGATATGAACAATACACTACAAAAACTTGGTTTAAAAAAACCTTGATGGGGGTGAAATTGGTACTTCCTCCACCGCAATTCACATGGCGCCCTTGCTTTTTGTGATTTAGCATTGACCATCAATTAGACGAATAATATATGAGTAATGTGCCATAAAAATTATACCATTGGAAACTTTTTTTGTATGAATTAAACGGTACAGGTTTTTGTGGAACATAATATATGTTTCACTGGTCAAATTGATGGTCAAAGTTGAACACTGGAATGTGTGGACGCCATGTATGGAGGGACTATCTGATTATGCTGATCAAGAAACTAAATCATGCAGACAGACTGGACAGATACCACACCAACTAGATATTTTGTGAAGCAACTAGGAACGCTTTGTTCACATTCAGCTGGTAATTCTACATATTGTTACCATAAGGGATGGACAAGTCTAACACAGCTGGGTTATGCAGTACTTTACAACAAAATCAGATAACACTACAGAGGAACAACATTGTTAATATGCATGTGCTTTTGAGAATGATTGGCTGTAACACAGGTAAAATCTCGACACTAAACCCTGAACATGAGATGTAATAGAAGTGTTTGTCTATTCAATTTTTGCAAACTGACCGAGGGACATCAAACTACATCTGATACTTGCAGCATGACTCACATCACACTGAACATTCCCACTGACATTTTTTACCAGTACATATCATATAAGCTGGTGGGGTGGTTCCTGACCAATTTAACTGGGTCAAGCGTGACACAAACAGGCTGAAGTGATGAATCCAGGACAAAGAAACATTATGCTATTACCATCACACTGGAGAAAGATTATTCAGAAACCAAGAATATCCCTACTAGCTGATTTTTTTTTAAGTCTGAAGTATGTTACAGCAAACCATAGTAACACAGAAAAGCAATTGGGTGACGAGCTAGTTCAGTAAAGGGGGAGGGGCAGGAAAGCTCACGAGGTCGAGGATCTGGAGCAGGGAGCGGATGTTGGCCTCGTCCATGGAGCGGACGTGCTGCTCCACCCAGGTCCCGAGCACCAGGTCCAGCTCCAGGAAGCCCCTCTGCTTGCTCCTGTACATCAGACTGCACGCACGCACGCACGCAGGTATACGAGGACGTGCGCGGCCCCTCGATCAGCAAACGTACTTGGTCGCCCAGAGGCTGAATATTCGAGGGAACGATCGGATAGGAGGGCACCTGTTGACTAGGCGGCGGCGGCTCTCGTCGTTGGAGAGGTCGATGGCGGTGCCGGCGGTGTTCTGCTGGGTGGAGGCGGTGGCGGAGAGGAGGCGGCTGGAGGCCGCGGGGAGGAGGGTGCGCAAGGAAGCTGGAGAGGGGAGGGCGCGGCGGAGCTGGAGCGCCCGGCGGAGGAGCGTGGCCGCCATGGCAGCCGCCGGGGAGGGGAGGGAGGGGAGGGAGGGGCGTGGCTGGCTGGTGGGCCGTGTCGCCTCTTCACAAGTCGGGCTGGGTTGGTGACTTTGGGTTCGTGATGGCGCGCGGTGCGGCGTGGCGGCCTCCTGGGCCAGACGACGACAAAGCCAGGCGTTGCGGTGCGGCAACGGGGCCACGTCGACACCCATACGGTTCCAGCGCCGTGGGGCGGCAACGAGGTCATCGCTCACAAAAAAAGAAAAACCAGCGCACGAGCGCGGCATCAAGGCTTAGGGCATCGCCAACATCGTACCTTTTTTTATCAAAGAGATCACATCTATTATAGAGATTTACCGGAAGTACAAAAACATCTTGAACATAAAAAAAATTATATCAAGTTTCATGGACCACCGAACGACCATTGCCGCTGCGAGAACGAACCGCCGACGGGCCGCTGTCGCCGCTCCCATACTGAAGCCTGCCTGACCTTGTCGATGACAGTTGAGAAGTATTCGTGCGCATGCCTCTAAGAACCAGCGCCCCAAGGCCGCAGTCGTCGTCGTTGAATCCTTGATCGATTTGAAGAATTTGACATCAAATATCGCCGTTTCGTACGCGCGGCGAGAAATCCTAACCTCGCCGCCCCGAGGAGCTGGCAGGAATCTACGATGAAACTCCGTCTAGTCTGTCCCAGCGAACGAACTTGAGGAGGATTGGAGCCCGGAAGACTGACTCAAATAAGAAGCACCGCCATCTATCCAAACCCCGCCCCTGCGAGAACTAAAACCCTACCTATCTACTAGCGGAGACGAGGCACCAGAAATCCCCTCCCCACCACCGGCCGCTGGGGTGGTAAGTGGAGGGGAGGCAAATTCATATGCTCACCAGCAAAGATCAAGGGAAGGAAGGTTTTCCCTAGTCGCCTTCCCGGGAGGGAGGGGGGAGGGAAACAATCGCTTTGATCAACTTGACATCATACCTATTGCATAACGTCATACGTCCAATCGGACGTATGGACACCCCAAACATTCGTGGGCTCGTCTGGACCTGTTCGCGGAGATTGGTAGAGAAGCCGGTCGTCCGATCGCATGCGCAACTATCCGCCTCATTCCAAAACCGTGTTCAATAAAATTCATGCAAGCCGACGATATTTATTAAATTTTGAAATTTTTAATCCTGAAAAGATGAAATTTAAAGAAGTACACCAAGTGAAATTTAACTAAACTACGAGGTATCGGACGGTGACCTCGTACGCATGGCAGCTTTGGCCGGCGGCACCTCTGCCGGCGTCGTCGTTCCAATGACCGAATGGCCCGTACAAGTCACGACAGCCTTGATCAGCCGCCACCTGCGGCGTAACCAATCGACTGCCTCCACAACCTAGCACAGGTGCTCAGCCATGTTGTCCTGGCGGCGATGGTCGCCCATGAACGCCGGCCCGACACGCCCGACCTTCCCTTGGCGAGAACATGGGTGGCATGCTCGGACTCGACCATCACTATTCTGAACAGCTAGTTGCTGATTTAGTGCCGACGTTGGGTGGATGTCGGTGCGGTGGTCTCAGACATGTCCTCGGCCCAAGCCAACACAAGGTCGGGGTCCGCAAGGTCCCAGTCCCGGGGCGCCTGCTCAACTGTTGCCTTGTGGGAGGCCATCATGTTGTGCGAGGAGGAGCCGTCGCCGCCGACACGTCCAAGGTAGTGGAGGAGCCAACCCATCTTCACCGGCGCCACTAGCTCCCGGACCGACGAGGCAATGATAACGGCGCTGGTTCCTGCCGCATCGAAATCTATGCGACAGGGCCGACTAGAAGAACGACCTGACCATGTTGCACCATGGCGACGTGGCCATCCTATTTCAAAAGCCAGATTGGCCGATCCCACTTTTCTCCACGTCTGCACTGAAGCAATGAAGCGACATCAGTCAGCCGTCCGGTCGCGTCGGCCAGACCGTTATTCATGTCATGCAGTCACGCCCACTTTGGAACGGCATATCGACATGAATGGGTGGAGAGTTTCTAGAACAGGACGCGTGATGAGGATTTTATGTGGGTCTAGGGTGTTGGGCGCCTACATGGTGGAGGTACGGACGCCCACAAATCTTCTCTGGGTTTGCCTCCGATTTGCGGGTATTTGGATGAACGGTGACTTAGGGTCATGCGGGCCATCTGGTCTACGACCCCATGTGTCAGTCAATCCCAGTTGATGGGACCGCATCATCTCGAGTGGAAAAAGTTTGTAATCCAAACCAAATCACATATGGATGTGAAGCAGCTAGCCGCTTGTTGTCCATGGCGAAGGCCCTGATCCTGGCAACCGCGGATGCGCACCGGGTGACTCGACGATCTCGAGGAGGAGCTTGGAGCCTGGATAGGGGATCCGCTCGATCGACACCGCCGGACCGGTTGGCGACGGACCAGTCTTGATCGACGCGACGAATGGCGTGGTTGGGGACGAGGTCGGAGCGGGACGTGGGTGACGGGGCATGCACACGATGAAGACCATTGTTCCCGCAGCTGCAGCCAAGGGAGGTGTGGCGTGCGAGCGTGACCTGACCTGACGGGGCATGCACACGTTTTGTTTTCCTCTTTTTTTTTTTGGAACCGAGAAATGTACTCCTAGACCGTGACCTGGCCTGGTCTCTCTCTCGCGCCCGGTCGATCTTGTTGTGTTTCTTCGACAAGCCAACGCTCGGTAGTTTCTTCCAGAAGGCAAGCAGATGAATAGTCGCCAACCGGCAGTAAAGGACGGCAGAGGAGAGATGCAGACAACATGTTGAATTGACTCTTCTTGTTCTGTCACGAGTATTCACGCACGCACGTCCCTGCTTCTCTGCAGTGGAGTGGACCAAGGTAGAGCAAGACTCTTTTTTCTTTTTCTTTGAAAATACTCCCTCTGTACCCCGCAAAAAAAAAATACTCCCTCTGTAAACTAATATGGTGATCTAAACGATTTATATTAATTTACGGAGGGAGTAATTCAGATCTATTACCAAGGTTCATCGGAAGTATAAAACATCTCAAACATACTAAAAATTACATCAAGATATCGAGACCACTAAATGATCACTACCGCCGTCAGAAAGAGCCGTCGACACGCCGCTGTCATCCCTCCCCTATCGAGCCGGTTTGACCTTGTCGATTACAACAAGGAAGTCTTCGTGCACGTGCCCCTAAGTACCAGCGCCTGAAAGTGCAGTCGTCGTCTTTGGACCCTTGAATAGGTCTAAAGCAACTGATATCAAATCTTGCCACACGACGAGAAACACTAATCTCACCGCCCCAAGAAAACGGTAGTAATCTACGCCGGAGCTCCGTCCACTACGTCCAGATGAACGAACTCGAGGAGGATCGAAACCCGGAAGACAAACTCGAAGAAGAAGGGCGGCCATCCACCTGATCGCCGCATCTGCAAGGATTAAAAAACTCTAACCTAAATTGCTAACCGAAGCGATGGCACCGGGATTCCCTTTCCCGCCACCGGCCGTCGGAGCGGCGGGCAGAGGGGAGCTGAATCCACGGGCTTGCCAACGAAGTCTGGAGGAGAGAGTTTGCCATAGCCGCCAAAGGATGGAGAAGGGAAAGAGAAACCTAGCCACCAAGGGATATGCTAGTTCCTTACGACCTAATTCTAAATTGTGACGGTTAGAGCAAGACGTTTGCTCAATAGTTGGATGCATGGTGATTCCTTGTTGGCGTTACAACAGCTATTACTCCATTTGTTTGTTTCATAATATAATATGTATAATTTTTTTGAAAAGTCAAACAAGCAAATTTTGACCGAGTTTACCAAAAACAGTTTATATAAACATGAAAATGTAACTGACGATGTATTCGATGATATGCATTTGGAATTTTAAATGTACATATTTTATCTATACAAATATGGCCAAATTTGTAATGTTTGACTTTTAAAAAATCCATATGCACTACATTATGAAATGGTGGAAGCTATTAGTCGACGTGAACCCTGACTTTGCACTAGCGCTCTTTCTTTGCAATATACTCCTTCCCTTTTTAACAATCTAATAGAGTAACTCAAATAGAGTTGCAATATTGGCTCAATCATCATAATAATTTTCAATATGTTAATTTTGATTTAAAATAGCACTCCAACAGAGTCGCCAATGCCTTCACATCACTACATTTTCTGGAGCTCGCTCCAAAAATGAGCTCCTAGCCTCCATATATGGAGGCCGTGGAGACCAATTTAAAACAAGCTCCATATTGAACTGCTAGTGTGGGAGAGAAGTGTCAGCTTCTTCCCTGCATGCCCCACACGGGATTTGAAGTAGCCCAACCTCCCACGCGCCATGCGATGACACCCAACCATTAATACCATGACGGCCCCCTCAGATTCCCGCGGCGGCCTATCGGATGGCCACCATATGGCATCATCTCCTGGCTTGGGTGTGAGAAGGCCGGAAGGAGCTGTGTGAGTAGCTGGGAGGTGTGTGAACATACCACGACAGCTCATCGGAAGATGAGCCCCTTGACCGTCCGTCGTCAGTCGCCTCCCCAACTGCCTCCTTAATGGCGTCTGCGGCAACATATAATCCCTCTTCAGCACCTCCCTTTCTCCTTTCGTCGGCCTCCAATACAACACCCACTTCCTCGTCAATGGCGTAGCCAGAGGAGTTCCCCTCGTCTTCAATCTCGAGGATGAGAAGGAGAAGACAGATCCCCTTGCCCCATCGTGGGTCAAGTATGATCTGGCTAAAGAGAAGTTGCGGCAGGAGGAAGCAGAAGAGGGCGTCGGATTTTCAACCCCGAGCCCGCCTCCTCTCTCACTGCTGCCGAATGACTGAGCTGAGACAGTGTCGTCGAGGTGACTGCATTCCCACTTGAACCCACCCTCGCCAGCCATCGTGGCCATGGCGATGGGCATGGTATCATGGCCTTGGTGGCCATGGCTGCAACTAGGCCCCGTCATGGAATCCATCCACCACTATTTGCTAATTATTTTATAGTTTAACCAAGTGTTATTAGTTGTTCCATCAATTTAACTTGCATTGC